CTCAGCTCTCTCTGTTCTCATGGAAACACCAGACTAGAAGAGCAGAGAAGTGTGCGTTTTGTGTGTGTGTGTGTGTGTGTGTGTGTGTGTGTGTGTGTGTGTGTGTGTGTGTGTGTGTGTGTGTGTGTGTGTGTGTGTGTGTGAGAGAGAATGAGGAATGAAGGTGAGAGAGGAAGCAAGAAGGCCGGGTGTGGCTTCTCCTTCCCACCCCTCTTCTTACACCCTGTGACCACCTTTGCACACACTCTGGTTTAATTACGAGGTGCGTGCACACACACACACAATCAGCACAGTCAGGCTTGCAGGTGCATGCTCATGCAAACACCCACACTCTATTTGTCTTTCATCAGATACACACACACGCATCCAGAGGTGTCAGAAGAGACCCCACCCCCGCTCCGAGCTTCAGCAGGAGCTGCAGACACAATAAGGATGCAGAGAGGAGGGACGGTGGAAATGTGGAGAAATTATTAACTAGCACCACTGAGAGTCCTCGCTGCTCCCACAGAGCCTCAGCAGCAGTACTTGGCAGCGCTACATCATCACTCTGTGTAATCATGGTCTGTAGCCGGTCCAGAGACACGGGCGGTGCTATAACGCAGGCTTCTGCTGAGTGCGCTTCATTCGCCTCACAACTCCACTTTGGTACTGTTCTGCACATTCATGCTGAGCAGCTTCTAGCCCCCGTCCTCTGCTCGGCTGCCGTAAGTGAGACATGTGCTCTGTGACAGACCCCCACAAATACTGTGAAACTGTGAGCAAATGAATAAACCTGAGCAGGAGAGCAAGAGGGGGTATTGTACGGTTATTAACAGTAGAGTAACGGTTATTTGACTTGTCAGCACTTTATTAAACAACTGGTGGCCCGTGGGCCACCTCTACCAGCCACCCACCACGTCTGAAGAATGGAGACACTTTCATGAATTATCACCCATCATCATCAATGGGGCAGCTGTGGCTGAGTGGTTAGAGCAGTTGTCCTCCAATGGGAGAGTTGGGGGTTTGAATCCACCAGCAGTCACATGCTGAAGTGTCCCTGGGCACAACACTGAACGAGTGGCGTCTATGTGATACACAGGTATACAGAGTATACCCACTAGAAAAGCATAGGAAGGTCAGTACACCCACTTAAAAGTGCCCACTGATGTGACATATTGGGCTTGTGTCATTGTCAACACATTTTGAACATTTTACAGACACACTGAGTTGGTTCAACCCGTTTATGTATAATTAATACTTCAGTACTTACTGCTTAATACTTGAACATGTTTTGCTTTGATACGGTTTTATAAATTCTATAACATGTTTTTAATACAAAGCCAACTGTTGTACAATAATTCAAATATAAGCAATTTTAGAAATATTCAATATGTTTAAAAATCAAAACAAATTGACCATTATTTTGTACTAACCGGTGTACTTCGGTTTCTAAGCACAGTATACAATGGTACAAAAATGTAGACTACACCACTGCACTGAACCCCTCATCACCTCCAATGTTTATGAATGTGATAAAGCACTGATTAGTCTTTGTACAGATCTAGTAGAGAGCCGTATGAATGGGTAAATGAGGACACAGATTGTAGTGTAAAGAGCTTTGAGTATCTTGATAAGATAGAAAGGCGCTCTACAAGTACAGTCCATTTACACAGTTTTGGTGTTTTTTCACATAACTTGAGTGCTGCCTCGATGAAGACCGTCATAATGCAGCAGCCCTAAACTTCCACCGTGTCAGTTTTTATCCAAGACAAACATCAAGGGGGCAAATAAGGAAATAAAGTCACAAAACGCTCAGCATCTTCTGCCATGGTTTCCAAAACTACCATGCCTGAGTCAAAGCCACCTTCCCTCCACGGGTCAGAGCTTGTCAGTTGAGTCCATCTGACGTATCCAACAAGCAAAGAATCATCTGCACCTCTTCGTATCTTGATAAGATAGAAAGGTGCTATACATGTACAGTCCATTTATCATTTACCCAAAGGTAGAGCAATAATTGTTTTACACATGAATGTGTGTGTGTGTTTGTCCCTGTGATGAACTTGTGTCCTGTCCAGGGTGTCCCCCACCTCTTGTACAGAGACTGCTGGAGCTAGACACCAGCTGCCCCTCAACCTGGAAAGGAAAAGCAGGCAACGGAAATGAAAGGATGGATAGATGTTTGGAAAAAAAAAAAAGAAGTAAATAAATAAGGCTGGAGTTTTTTTTTTTTTTTTTTTTTTTAGACAGCAAAAATCCACTTTGGTCTTGGTTGCATTTAGTCACTCCGACCAGAAATTAACAAGTGATCAGTTTCCATGGGCTCGTCTCGGCCCTACTCAGATCTACTCTGCACATCTTCGGAGGGCTGGGTGACCCCGCCCACTTCTAGCTCGACTCTCAGGGCCAACTAGGCCATGGTTCCAATCGTGATGAGTTGGGCTGAAGATCTGACGTCAGCGATTGGCCAGAGAGAGGTCAGTCTTGAGCGTCTCTCTTACAAGAATCAAACCTACCACTTTAAAACCTTACCGTGTTTTTGTTTACTTTTAAGAATATATCCATTAAAATGGCAACACATATACCAACACTGTGTGACTTGAGGTGCAGATGATTCTTTGCTTGTTGGATACGTCAGATGGACTCAACTGACAAGCTCTGACCCGTGGAGGGAAGGTGGCCTTGACTCAGGCATGTTAGTTTTGGAAACCATGGCAGAAGATGCTGAGCGTTTTGTGACCATTTCCTTATTTGCCCCCTTGATGTTTGTCTTGGAAAAAAACTGACACGGTGGAAGTTTAGGGTTGCTGCATTATGACAGTCTTCATCGAGGCAGCACTCAAGTTATGTGAAAAAACACCAAAACTGTGTAAATGGACTGTACTTGTATAGCGCCTTATCAAGATCTTATCAAGATACTCAAAGTGCTTTACACTACAATCTGTGCTTGCATCTACCCGTTCATACAGCACTCTACTATGTCTGTACAAAGACTAATCAGAGCTTTATCACATTCATACACCGATGGGACACACATTGGAGGTAATGAGGGGTTCAGGGTCTTGCCCAGGGACACTTCAACATGTGACTGCTGGTGGATTCAAACCGCCAGCTCTCCCATTGGAGTACAACTGCTCTAAACACTCAGCCACAGTCACCCCACAACCCAAGTTGGTGTAAACTCAAGTAAAGTCAAAGTGGGTCATGTTGAGCCTGAACAACAGAAAAACGGCACAATTCTTTAAACTGAGGTAATTTTATTTATACAACAGGTTAGATATTAATTATTCATTTTTAATCCACAGAACCTTACTTCAAAAACATCAAAATTATTGCTTTGAGGGCAGAAATGCTTGGAACTGTATCCTTTTACCTCAAAATTTGCATTCAATTCAGTTATCACTGACGCAACTTGCTGCCCGTTGCTGAAAAGACTCATAGCATCAGCATCTAAATATCAAGAAGCAAATTTGTTCAAATCGAGTCCCCAATCTGAAAGCGCCGACACAAATCCTTTGAGAGTGTAAAAACATAAACACAATCATATTCTCACATTTCAGATGGTGGGCTTTGTCTGCGAGAGGAAGAGAAAAACAATCGAAACATTCAATTCCCCAAGAGGCAGAACTCCGGCTGAGGCCGGGGCAGTGGTAGCTGCAGAGACCAAGTGAGAACGTGTGGGACGGTCTTAGAAAACAATCCATCTGCCACTGCAACAGATTGGACAGCAGCTGAGTGGAAACTAACCCTGCAGACAGTATAGCTGCTCCGTTTCCCAATGACTTAGTATGCTAATGTATGTCCGCTCGTTTGATTGTTCTGCTGAGCAGCTGAATTTGCTGACCGCAGAGATCGATAATGTCACACCTTTCTAACCGTACGGGGAAACAGTCGAGATGTTTGCCTTGGCAACACTTTACACCTGGCAGCCCGTTTCTCCAATTACAAACTAATTCCTGTCATTAATTTACTTTAAAACATTAAGTTTGAACTCGCGGAGCAGTGCTGTTAGTAAAGCATGAGACACCGCAGAAACTGCACAGAATTAAGACAAATGGAAGCTCCCGTCACTAATGTTGATTGTTTCCTGCACAAAATTAGGTTCAGTGATGGGAGACAAATATTTCTCAAATGGAAATCAGAAACAGGGCATGTGAATACGTTCTGTGGTTTGCTGCTTTGTGCATCAAGAATGCAACGCCATCCCGTGATGAAGCTTCTCGTTTGCTGAATTAAAGGTCGCTGTGTCGAGTCAAGGCAATGAGACTCACAATTCATTCAGTGGCTGCAGTTACAGTAGTCCCTCGTTTATCTTGAGGGATCCGTACCCTGAAGCCCTGTGATAAGTGAAAAACCGCCAAGTAGGAATAATAGAACAAGTAGTGGGGGGGGGGGGGGGGATATGGCTCAAATATAATAAATTTCAGAGCATTCTGACAATAACAATAAAT